AAGATATATGAATGGGTTCTGTTGGCTTGCTAAATGTGGTCTGTGGCCGATGTTTGGGGTATTTTCTATAACTTTCAGTAGACAGAATATTAGAAGTGGGCTGGTTGACAAGGGGTTTACGTAGTGGATGTGCAGAACAATACCTACTACTTTGCTGTGCTGTTTGTCTAGAATTAGGGATTCGATAAAATTGGCTTTCCACTTGGCACCAATTAGGCCTACCCCTAGGAGCTTCGTCTACCATATTTGACTTTCTCTTACAAAGAAGGCCTACAGGTGCTTTCGTCTCTTTCTTATCAAAGAGCTTTCTTGCTCCGGGTTTAGTATTTAATTTATTTACTTCTTTTTCCCCTATCTTATGATTATCTGGCTGATGATGGCTAACAGGGCAGTCAGCACATGCTATGTAGGGTTTCTGTGGCTTGAACACCTCATGAGCTTTAGTTTTCTTAATGGAAATGGGACGTTTGTCATAACGCCTAGAAAACTTGCCAACTTGGGTGGCTACATTCGACTGGTGCTTCACAGAGTGTGGATTGTCAGACCGAGGAGTAACTGACTTATAAGGCAATGGTTGGACCACCAGTGGGATGGGTTTTGATGGTTTCGGTGTCTTGACTTTTGCGTCAGTGTGAAAACGATGTATTTCAACATTATTTCCCGTTGACTCATCTATGTCCACCATTTCAGTGTCTGCATCAATATCGTTATATAATGCTTGGCTAACATTAGCCACTACCTGCGAAAATGTCTGTTGCATGCCGTGATCAGATATTTCAATAGACGGAATAACGCACGGAACATCATCTACAGTTATCCTATTAGAGTTATCAGGGTTCACTGTTCCTGAGCGGCATCGCCTTTGGCATGGTGTTAAATCAGGTGCAACCCTAATGTTAGTGTATGGTGTTGAAGAGCCTATTTTCTTACCCGATTTCAGAAAATTCCTGGCTTCTTCGGTAGACCTAAACTTGAAAAGCACAGGACACGGGTGGTTTGCAGATTTCTTACGAAGACGCAAAACCTGACATTCTGTCAACGACATATTACAAGCCTTTAGACACGAATTCTTAAGTTTGGCAATCGGCTCTCTGTCTGGAATGTTATAGGCCAAGACGTTATGTGAAGACATAATCCTCTTAACAGCTTCTTCAGCCAAATAGTCAATTATGCGCTCGGATTTGATTAGTGATTCAAAACAGATGTTTTGTGGTGGGTCACACAGTTGCGTGAGAGGCATAATGCTGTCAAACTTGCTCTGTAGTTCTGCTATTGACTTCTGAAGTGTCAGTAAATCATTTTTGCTACAAGCCGCATTCTCTGCTAATTCCTCCATGATATCAGATACCATAACTCTGGGTATGGCTGGTGTAAACAGTGTAGAATTGTCAACGGAGCTGAGGCCTTCAGATGGCTGACTAGTATTAGATCTCAGTCTCTTAACGGTACTTACACGTTTGATAGACTTAACCATTACAGAAATAAGAAACTTCACAATTTCCGGAAAAAAAGTCTTGAGGATATAAAAATAAGATAGCTGTATTATCGAAGTATCAAAACAACAACGATAAACAGATTTATATTGCAAAAATAAAAAGTCAGACTTTCCTTTACAGAGTTTGCTGTGGATAAAGTCCTGAGTTCCACGTAGTTAGATATGGTATCCGAGGATTCTTGACGTAGATTTCACGAGTGAATGCTATATGTTGTTCCAGTTGATACAATACAATCCTTGTTGACTATGGATAACTGGATAATGTGATGAAAGCGGCTAATTTCCAAAATATTAAGGAAAGATGATTCACGCAGAAAGTGAACACCCGTAGCGCAAGAGTTCAAAAGTTTAATTATTATTATTAAAAGATCACTGTCTCTGGGATCCAGATCCCAAATGCCGAGCGTCTTCCACACAACGTTCAGAAAATAATGTTAAATAACCGGCTAACGACCCCAAGATTGAGCCGCGTCTGTTTAACTCACCCTACACCCATGTTCTGGGAAACTACTTTCTACGGTTTAAATATGAAGACCTCAATGTGCCTTCAGATGTCGTTTCCAGGTAACGACTGTTTGCAATTATATCATATTACAAAGAAATGCCGCCCCCTAAGACCTTCCGCGATTAAATGTAAACGTCGCAGACACCAGAAATTGCTACACAGGAGGTAGGGATTATCCTTGGACACAAAAAACTATGTGACCACCCATCACCAGCAACACAGACACATGAACCCGTACAAGACTATGATTAGTGAGCCAGAGTTCGTTACAGTGCTGAATAATTACTCCAAAGTTTTTCAAACCTCTGTATTTTTGGAGAGTATGTCAGGCGCTATGGTTGTTGCAGGGGGTCTGGCAAGAGATTTACGTTCAAAAAGGATGATTAAAACAGTTGATCTTTAGACACGGGATTCGAAATCCTCTTTATCCTGCAAATATGTACAACCGTAACTTCCTCCATCATATTCCTCCACTCAGGTTACTGCTTCGAAGACATGGGTATTACAGATACTGACCCAGCTGCAAAGCGTGGTGCCCACCAACAGATCAGATAGCATCATGGAGCCACTTACATTACAAAGTTCTACCGGAGGCCAAAAATGGTGAGACTAAGATCCTTGTTGCCTGTAACTTGCTAGAAGTACGTGCCTCAAAGCAGGAAGAAGAAGGAATACCTTATTATTCCAAAACTACTCGAGTATTACACAGTTTTGAAATGTATGTTCCACTTGAAGATATTCAGGCACTAAGTGCCACACCGTCTACACATTTATCTCGTGAAAATAATGGAACTTCGTGTGTTTCGAATACTTAATTGATTTCTCAAGATAGTAACTAGGGGAAACCCGAGGATTCTATTGTAGATATCAGTCCAACTAAATCTTCTTTACCTCTTCCTCCCGTTGACATTTCCACCAGTGAAAAATAGTTTGAAATGCTTGTAAAGTTTGCGGTTGAATCTTTAGTCTTTAGTGAATACCCGGCAACAAATGTATTATATTTACCATATGTATCTTCAACTGATTGCAGCGGAAAATACCCAGTGTTTACTGCCTTACCTCAACCAAAATGAAGATGAAACCATGATCGACAGTAGCGTGTTAATAGACGAAACCTTTGGGAAGCGTACACTACAGGAACTGGATTAGTCATTGGATAGCTTCAGAATCTCATGTTTTTGGTCAAAGGTACTAAGAGATTTCACTTTGTGTCAGAACTCTGTCTGCTACTTAAAGATGCGAATGGTTGTCTACGCAATATCGCTAGGAGATATCGGTAAAGTCAAGATGTGGATACTTTAACTCACGCGGTGTACTACGTTTCCATACCAGTCAGAAGAGTTGAGGAGTGTACTGCTACACGACTGTCTTCCAATATTCCATGCAACATTAAAGTGGCTATATATAAAAAGAAACTGTTACCGGTGATCTGCCCCTAGCTAATGATACAGTTCTGAAGCTAAATCCTATAGTTAGTAAGGTGACTGCGGCACTCCATGTACGTGAATGTACCTCATTGGCCATTTCGTTCTACACTGTTCGGTACATTTTTGCCCTTCCGTGTATGACAGTTGTTTTTGCATTATTACTCTTGTGTAATTGTATCATTTCTTCGGTATTCCATAAACGAATAAATTATGTGCTAATCCAACTGCGTTCTAACCGCAACAAATCTTAGACTCTGAGTTGTTAATGTTGACTATTAGGAGTAAGTTTTCAAGAGAAATTAGGCCTACGCCCGCTGGCCCGGTAAAGAGAGGAGGCTGGCCGTGAGGCCCGTAATTTTATCCCACAAAGAAACATTGTGACCAAGACCTCGTGCCTGAAGCTTGAACCCCTATGTTGCATTAAGACTGCAAATGGAATGAAGATAAGATCATATGTTTCACCAGAAATCTCTGGATACTACACTTTTTCCTGCCTGACGAACTTGATGTCTTTAAAAGTGGTGTGTCCACAAAGAGGAATGAAGAAGTATACTAGCATTTAACAAGAACTGACGAAACTAAACTAAATCTGAAATTTTTATCCCTCCACTATGTTCACTCTGTTTATAGCCTGTATTATTTTTTGCCAGTTTTGCAGTCACAGCGGCCAGTCACGTCTAGTGCCAGTGGAGGAGCCTCTGGAACTGGTCTAAATCCAAACCCACCCTAATTGAGTGGGTGATGAAAACAGTGAAGATGTGGTGGGCCTTTCTCTCCTCAGATCAGTCGCCAGAATCGGATAGTGACTCTTTTTAGGACAAAAGTTATTCAGCGGCACGCAACAACTCGGCCCTGGCAGCAAAATAGAGTCACACTGGTATCTTCTTGGAGTGTTAGTGAATCATTTCGTAAATTTTTGCTTCAGTGCCCAGCAATCGTGTCTCTTATATATGAATGAAACTAAAAGGATGAATAGTTTGGCTGGTAGTAGGATTGACGTGTAACAATGTGCGTCATGCGAAGCACTGTCACTTTAGCGAACACTTAAGAGTCGTTATGGGTGAATAATGAGCCAAAAGTACGGAATTATCAAAATTCGTAAGTAAGGGCAGTTGGAGCGTTCTAAACCAAATTAACTAATCTGTATTTTTCTCAATATTCTAATGTGGTTAATATTACCATTCGTCGAATGAAGTCAAAATACAGATTATTTTAGTGAACTTTCAAAGGCTTTCTGAATAGCTCTTTCTTCGCCAACCAGTTAGGCTCAGCCGTGCCTTAGGTTAATAAAATCTTATAATGCATTTGACAGCCGACGGGAAAACTTTCTATCTCCGGTGAAAATGGTAGGTAGTCTACCCAGACACCACTTCATTTTATATTACATAGGCGAGTCTGACTAGCAGGGTTTATTGTCTAACCCGTCATGCTTCTAATCAAAATTGATAGCTTTTTGAGTCATTTTCTTACCCTTAGAGCATCAGATGGAAAGCCTTACTAGTCCTTTGACAGTGAATTAGTGATGAGCTGTGTCAGATGTTTCGAAATACAAATATAAGGCAGGAGTGTGCAACAAGAATTCACACGGAGTTTGTGCTTTCAGAGGCATTAATAATCAGAAAATTACGTGTTTGAAAGCGTTATTTTTTCACGAGTGTCTTAACAGAATATAAACAAGTACTGCATTAGTAACAGTGAAGGACTGGAAAAATGCCAACCTTCTGGTTTCGCTTGTATGCACCTGTACGTCGAAGCTACAAGTGATTACTTATTGCAGGTTGATATTCCATTTCTCAAGAGATCCTAATGGAGACAAATTAATCCGAATATATTTGGAGATAGCATTCAATATGTGTTTGTATCAATCAATCTCAAATTTCTAAGTTGGTACATATTTGGTTAAGATTTTGCTTGATGCCTGTAATCGCGCGCGGGAATGCTTCTCGCACTTTTATTCATTTTGAAAGGTAATTATTTATACCGTTACCTTTTCCACAGTCTTACTTGAAATTGCAAACGGTGTTGATTTTGTCTTTCCTTGTGGACAACCAAAAGTGTATACTGGATATTTATGGTCAAACTCAACAGTTGTCCACGTTGTACCGAGAATTCAGGCTACATCAGAGAAACTTAATGACCATTTTGGTATTTCTCATTTTATTTTAATATTTCTTTAAGGCAAAGCATGTCGTTTTAATGTTCATAGCTCTGAAAACTTGCCATTTTATGTTGAGTTGCTTGATATGAAATATGGATTCGCTGAACTACGTGTCGACCCAAAGATATCATCAAACATTAAAAATACTTCATCCCTTGTTTTGGAAATACAAGCGATAGATTGCAATGAACAACCAAAGACATCCCCACGGTTCGTTACTACTTTTTACTTTTATTCATCGGTGTAATTAACTATAAAATTTCGGTTGGATTTATTATTATACCAAATGGTATTTACACCTCAATAGTGCATTTGTGGTAACATAAGGTGCACCGATTTGACCACTTCAATAATATAACAATTTCTTCAGTCCTGCAATTTACTTCTGAAATCCAAAATATTAGTAGGGCAAATCTTTGTACTCAATTTTAGCTGAATAATAGCTCCAACGTCAAGTCTAGTTAAAGTTAGAAGTTACACGATTTGCCGGTCTTTATGAGTAGTTTGCCAAACATTAAAACATGTGACTGTCAAGATTGACAATAACAAACAGCTTTTATGATGGCATGTCTCAAATTTTCATTAAAGTCAATAAGCATACATTATAGAAGTCAGGAATTATTTGGCTCATGAAATAGTTCTGATTCCGTAATCAATTGCAACCATGATGTTAAGCCTTTGTCTGCATTGTTATAGTAGATTTACCAGTATATTTTTATGTGATACAGTATAATGAAGGGAAACATGACTTAATTTCCTTATCTTCGGTCAGTCCATCTTAATTGTAAATGGCTGATTTTATTAATTAATTAATATCACTTCTAAAAGCTTTTATGACGAAAAGTGTTCTTCATACTACGCAGGTTTACACACAGTAATTATTTACCTAAAGGTTGCTGATGGTCTTATAAAGGGAAAAATGGCTTCCCATCTGATCGTTCTGAGAAAACTCATACCTTTCTCATCTTACTCTCTCACTTTTTAATTATCTCTATTATATCTGCTAACTAACGTCAGAGGGAGCATCGTAGTAAATAATGGTGTATGTTCACCTGTTTGCTTTGATGATTATGTTAATCAGTGTTGAAAATGCTTTGAGGTGGTCAAATAAAAATATAGCACCAATTTTAGAAGTAAATGACTGTTTTTGCAAGCAGAGAGAGTACACATGGTCTGCTTAAGTGGAATTCTCGAGATTGTAACTATTCACTGCTTGCGTTCCGAGTAGAAGATAAGAATTCAGCTTGACTTCCTTACTGTACCTTATTTTCTGCCATCACTTTCATCTGGCTGCATGACTAATCATAATGTTTTCATTTCCTTCTCACAATGTCTTCTCCACTGCACCACTCTTGTACACACAACTTGTCACTTCTCACTTCAATGCCACTGGAAGGCCAGGCGTGTGATGTCACTTGAATTTCCCCTCAGTGTATGTCAAATATAACTCCATATGCACATTTTTACAGCGACAGACTGTTAGCTAGTTGACAGTACTGTCAGAGTTTCTTGTTGCCTATAATTCCTGGCCGGCTATCTGGTCTTCGGAACCAAGCCCGCAGCCTTTCAGGAATGCTCTTCGAGCCATGCCAAACCTCCGAATCATGTAGAGGTACTGACTCAACATTAGAGCTACAAATTTGGGTACTATTCTTTTTGCTGAGTGCTGTACATTCCCACATTAAGCAATGAAGGTCTGTCTTGCTGTTCATATCCTATGCCGCCTGTAACTGCTACTTTTTATTCATCCTGTCTTGCTGTAGTTATGATACATTTGTTTGTGTGCACTTTATTTAAGTGCGACAATCAACTAATGTCCCCTTCAGACTGTATTTTTCTACATGTCCAGAAATATTTGATCTTTACTGAAAGTTATTTGATCGCGTAGGACATTTCAAGCTTCGCCGGGCTCCTACGATTCGACGACTTCATTTTGTATGAACTTTATAACCTTTGTTCAGTCTAGCACACTTTCTATTTCTATTAAGGGTTGCTACGTGTGTCGGTGACACAGAGGTAGAATACTCGCCAACCACGCCACACGTGGTTTGGGATTCAATCCCCGGCCGACTCACACCTTTACCTCGCCAAACCAGTAATAAGACTGGTAAGGAGGGAAGGTTAGGCATAAGGCTAGCAACTCCATTCCGTAAGAAAAAACAACACTGCTACTGAAACTTCAAAGCTGTAGCTTGAAGCCCTACGTTCCACTGGGAACCTAAGGGTTTAAAAAATCCAAGGGTCGCTCAGGAGCCCCGTTGTTTCTCATATGAATGCATGTTATTTACAACTTTTTACTATCTTATCACAGGAAATTTTCATAGACAAATTTCAGAAAAAAGAAATTAAATATAATCACTGCAATTTTATCGGTAAATTTAGTTTCACTGTGAAAATGTCACTAGACGAGAAATAATAAGGTCACAGTGAATTAAAATCGACGACATATATAATAAACTCTCCATCTTTAGTTGACTCTTACCACCTTCATTATAATAGTCGCTTGATCAACAGATCTATCTTCTGGTTGGTTAAATTAGATCGCTGGTTGTTCAAGTTTCAAATGGAATTACTGGCAGTTTCTATTTCTAGTTGTCAAATAAATAATAAGGTTTGTTTTCAAGAGTTAGTTTGTAGAGATTTGATTAGTTTTAAGTAGGATCAAAGACTGATATAAATTTATACACTGAGGTAATGGGTAAATACTTACTAAAAACCAATCCACGTATGGACTGACTCATATGAACAAAAAAAATGAACATAATCAAACAGAAGCATACTACATAGACGACATAGTTCTCCGACAGAATTACTGACAAAGAATATCTTGCAGGCGATTAGGTATATTGATAGATGCAGCTATCCATCTTACTTCCATGGACATTATTAAAAAAGATATCGTCTACAGCCTTCTGTAGTATGGTTAAGTACGTTCGATATATGCGGCGTCGTTTGAATGTGTTATTGTTGTATTTATAGACAGATAACTGTAACAGTTTAAAAAAAACAGGGTCTGAAGGACATACTTAAATCCACATAATATCCGTAACACAGTAAAATGACAAGTAACAGCTAAAGTACTAACATGAACCATGTTGTAGAGAGCAGAAAGCAAAGTTATTTGTCACAGGAATTATTCGTCAGTTTTAACATTGATACCTATGTATATATATAATACAATGTTGCAAGAATTATGACTATTTTTACAAGAATGACGTGAATAAACTCTAGAATATCACAAGACTATTTGTCAAAACGGAAAATAAATATTTTAAAATTAGATCACGGATTGAAATTAATCAGGATACCACTGAAAACTGATGAGTACTGAATAGCTACTTCGTACTAGTTTGGGACTCTCCAGTAATACGCACCCACGGGGAATCGAACCCAGAACCTACAGACTATGTGGTAAACGTAACTTCATTCAGCCACCGAAATGGAATTCACTGGACCGCGAATTGTAACTTCTGTTAATTTGTCGTATATGTATTCATATTGCCACAGCGACGCAGTGTCATCAGCCAGTATATGTTCCTCCCTCTCACGTTTTCAACAGTTCTCTAGCTAAAATCAGCCCTTGGTCTCAACTGAAACTAACCCAATCACTTCAGATCAACACTGCAGAATAAATAATTTTCATTCAGCAATTCCTGTTAAAAGAATTGGAGCTATATAAAAATATTGGACTTCTAAAATTTGTTAACAAGAATAGTGATTTTATTTGCGACGTTGAATTTTATAGATCAAAGGTCGAAATAAATGTTTTATCATTAAACAGTCTAAAACTGAATGAGCACATTTTATGTTACCTTTTGTACAAATAAACTAAAGTTTTATAATCTATATAAATTTATACTTACATGACAGGTTAACCCAACAAGTAACAAATAAATGTTGCCCTTTTGCACTACCATCGAAAATTCATCTGCATTATAAGTTTTACCTCCGTTTATTTTCGTCCCTTTTACTGTGCATTAATTATCCCCTAATTACAGGGTTTACTATCTGAAAGTACAGCTTAGTAAGCTGGCTTTTAAGAATTTCCAACGGACTTTGTGAAGATTTTATTATGTACTACTGAGTTAAACACAGATAATAAATAAATACAAACGGTATCAAGTCTGATCACCGATTGATATCAGTTAGTGAACCGTTGGGAACCGAGCAAAACTGAACAGCTGTTTCGTCCTTGTTTGAAACTGCTCAGGGTCAGGCATCTGTCACTCCACTTCCAGGGATCGAACTCAGGATCTTCAGGTTACAAGGTGAGCTCATTGACCATTCAGGCACTGGGATGGAGTTCGATGGACTATGAATTCTAACTTCTGTCAATTAGCAATTTTGGCTAACCACCTTTTTAAAATTATTCTGATACTCACTAGTAAATGGCTATCGGACAAACTCCCTCTAGAGTTCTAGTCAGAAGTCGTAGCCAGTAGGATCCATCATGTAGGATATTAGGACAAATACTCACCGATGACAGTAGCTAGTAGTTGCGCTGAAAATCGTGAATTGATAAGACTTATAATTGACTACCGACTGAATTCTGTCACAGTGGCCGAATGGTTAAATAGCTCACATGGTGACCCGTAGCTCTTGGGTCCGATACCTAGTGGTTGGATCATGGTAAATTTCTTCTGAAGAGTCCTAAACAAGGGCAAAACAAATTTCCAGTATTCCTTAGTTTCCGATTATTCTCTAACTGATATCACTTTGTGATCCTACTTGAAACCAATCAAATCCCTACAAACTAACTCTTGAAAACAAACCTTATTATTTATTTGACAACTAGAAATAGAAACTGCCAGTAATTCCATTTGAAACTTGAACAACCAGCGATCTAATTTAACCAACCAGAAGATAGATCTGTTGATCAAGCGACTATTATAATGAAGGTGGTAAGAGTCAACTAAAGATGGAGAGTTTATCATATATGCCGTTGAGTTGAGTTTGACCTGATAATACTTTGTGCATCAGTAATTCGTCGAGCTCTTACATCGAAAGTAAATTTTTAAAGGCATTGATAAGATACAGCAAAGGTAAACTAACAGATTGCTGTAGTCTGGAAGATACTACAATACAGACAATCAGATATTGATAATGTGTAATAGAGTATCTTGGTCCAGTGATAGAATACTCACCAGCCAGTCAACAAGTGGTCTGGAGTTCGGTCCTCTTCTGACTCACTCGTAAACCTCGCTTTGATC